TTAGTAACTTTGTAGAGCTATGGCCATAGGTGTGCTGCAAAGCAAATTTCTAATCACATGAATGAGCCATTTTTAAGAAGATTTTTAAAGTTTTTTTGTCATTTTCAGTAAATCCAATATGGCGGCAAGTGGTGAGAAAGTGGTGCAATTGAGCACTTCCGGTTTGTGTTCTACCTAAGATGGCGGTCAGGTCATGTGACCTACATGGCTGGTTTTAGGGTATGCACCACAACTCATGGCCCTTTATCAATATGCAATATTCCAAATCAATCGCAGCATTATTTTTCAAGTTACAGCGCTTTAAAAACAACGGAAAAATAATAATAAACATAGCAATTACAAAAGGGTTTTGCCCCATAGGGCTCGAACCCTAATAAAACTTTATTTCATCAGTGAAAGGCAGAAAGCTGTACCTGAGTTTTAAACATATTTAAAAAAAATATGTAAATACCAATCATCAACTTTCATTCAAATTAACATAATTATTAATGATTGGCTTAAAAACTGAAAATTGTCTTTGCCAATGATGCATGTGCATGCCTTCACATGACATAGCGACTGCAACCTCATAACTAACTCATTAATATTAATTACAACTCAGGATGATATTTGATATAACATTTTAAATATTGGATTGGTCAGTTTGAAAATAGCTATTTTGATTTATAAAAATTTATGTTTATAAAAGGTTTATAATGTCCCCAGGCTTCTACCATTCACTGTAGCAACAAAGAATAATATAACAAGTAACCTGTAGAATGCTGTGTGGGTAATATTTTTGTAATGATTTTTGTTGCATTTGCAGCAAATAGTTACCAAACAATGAGAAATCTATAGGATTGGATATACCTCTCAGCTGGCTTCACATGCATAGTTCAAGCCTGCCTGACCGGTGCTTATACCAGGATTTAGTTACAAATCTGAATTTGGAGAAGAAAGTTACTTATCATTAAACATGTCTAGGGGTGAAAGATCGATTTAGCACAGCTCCGTTTCGGTACACTTCCTTTGCGTATCAAAATTAACGGGACGATATAGACATGAAACCGTAGACAGGCGCATTTGTAAATTATGTTCTTTAAATGTAACAGAAGATGAAATACACTTCTTACTGTATTGTCCATTATACACAGAATTATGTGAGCAGCTATTTAATGAATTTAGTATTTCCAGAAACCAATTTAATTTGTTAACTGATATAGAAAAAATAAGTTACTTTATGGTGAACCATGTTAGAGCGATAGCAAAATATATTACAAGATCATTTCAGAAGAGACGAGATAACCTGTTTGTGTAGTACATTAGTTGATATTATATTTTACAAGCAATAATACATACAATATCTTTATTTGACATACACCCTCTATATTTGAGTACATATACATGACCCCAGTGACTTGTAAGCCCATTGGGCTGGGTGACAGATTTTTATTTTCAAGCTATGTATTTACTGAATATTTTCTTATTGTCACACATCACTTTAATAAACAATACTACGACTACAGCACCTAGACGGTCTGTGGTTACAGCTTTATGTTCCGAGTAATAGCAAGAAATTGACATTACAATAGAAAATAAAAGACTGGCACTCCCATGCAATTAATAGCAAGTGAAATTTCCTCGATTGAAACATAGACTTTGAAGTCACTGGTGTAGGCAATGAATAACTTCAAGTTGGCATAAAACAAGGTAGTTTATTTAATCAATGATATTAAAACTAGAGGCTGAAATTATAATTACGTTATATAATTTGTCAAATAGAATCCCCAGTGTATGAAAGTATGTTTTAGGGGTATAGTGTATATGAAGGGGTAGGGGTGGGTGTCATATAATTTTTTTTTTTTTTTTTTTTTTTTTTTTTTTTTTTTTTAATCGTATATTAAATTAAAATGTGATGGACAGAATACTGATTAATTTTTTTTTTAAATACAAATACAAAAAAAAGAACAAAAAAGTTGATCAAAATACAAATACAAAAACACAAAAAACAAGGTCAAAGTCGCTCATGTTATATATATATTTTTACAGTATTTTTATTTTTCTAGGTATTTCATTATATTTTCCCATTTGTTAACAAATATTTCGTATTTGTTATATTGTTCTGCAATTGCTTTTTCTAGGTTAAAGGTTTGTTTTACTCTTTCAATGAATAAGTTTAAGTTTGGTTTAGAATTATTGAACCTCGCAATATATAATTCGTATTTCCCAAGTAAAATTAATATATGAATATAATGAATGGTCAAATAACGGAGAGTTGGATTATGAATGCTAAAAATTTTAAACCACGGATAAATAATTCTTTTGTACTAAAACAGAAAGATTGTTGTGAAACTATTATTGGCTCTGCCTTTGCTTTATATTAATATAATATTGGTTAAATATTGAAAATGTGAGAAATAAGTGTTAAGTGTAGTCTGCTCAGCGTCCCACTACTCGGGCGTCTAATGAGGGGGAGGGGATATATGGTGACAACGTCGTTTATTTATATAAATGTAAATTGTTGAACAAGTTATATATGTTTCCCTTAAAGATTTGATGCGCCTTTTTAATCAAGCGTTTTAAATGATATATTTAGAAAGCGGTAATGTCGTAGCATATCCGAAGTCATAAATGGCCTTGATTTCAGATTAGCCTTTTCATCCCATTTTGTGTTAATTGTTGTAATTCAACAAAACTGTCCATGAAGAAAAACAATGTATGGATAATGTTGTGTGTTTGTCATTATTAAATATTTGCATAAATTGCACTTTCATATGTATATTATGGTTATTCCCAATTTGATTAAAATGTCAACAAATGCAGAAACTATTTAGAACGATG